CTAAGCTTCTTGGATCAGTTGGTTTGTTTTCACCAAATTTTGGAAATTTTCAATCACTATTCTTCAAATATATATATGTGTGTATATATATATATATATATGAAAATCAGTATAATTATAATGAATAACAGAGCCATACACAGACAAGTACATAGTATATTATTCCATTTATATAAATCTCTTGAAAAATGCAAACTAATCCATAGTGAGAGAAATCAGATCAGTAGTTTCTTGGGGATGGGGCTGCAGAGAGGGACAGGAGGGACATTACAAAGAGCACAAGTAAACTTTTGAGGGTGATGGATATGTTCATTGTCTTAATTGTAGTGATGATTTCATGTGGATTCAAACTGCTAACTTTTTGGTTAGCAGCTGAGCTCTTAACTCCTGTGCCACCAGGGCTCCTAGATATGTCAGAGCTTATTATATTGTATACTTTAGGTATGTGTAGTTTATTGCATATAAATTACACCTCAATAAAGCTATTTTTATTTTTTATTATTTTTTTAATCTTCATTTTTTTAAATTATACTTTAGATTAAGCTTTACAGAGCAAACAGGTTTCTCTCATTAAACAATTAATACACATATTGTTTTGTGACACTGGTTGCCAACCCCACGACATGTCAACAGTGTCCCTCTTCTCCACCTTGGGTTCCCCATTACCAGCTTTCCTATCTCCTCCTGCCTCTCGTCCTTGCCCCCTGGGCTGGTATGCCGTTTAGTCTCATTTTGTTTTATGGGCCTGTCTAATCTTTGGCTGAAGGGTGAACCTCAGGAGTGACTTCATTACTGAGCTATAAGGGTGTCCAAGGGCCATACTCTCAGGGTGTCTCCAGTCTCTGTCAGACCAGTAAGTCTGGTCCTTTTTTTTTTTTTTTTTTGCGAGTGTGTGTGTGTGAGTTAGAATTTTGTTCTTAATTTTTCTCCAGCTCTGTCTGGTACCCTCTATTGTGATCCCTGTCAAGGCAGTCAGTGGTGGTAGCTGGGCACCGTCTAGTTGTGCTGGACTCAGTCTGGTGGAGGCTGTGGTAGTTTTGGTCCATTAGTCCATTGTACTAATCTTTCCCTTGTGTCTTTGGTTTTCTTCTTTCTCCCTTGTTCCTGATGGGGTGAGACCAGTGGAGTATCTTAGATGGTCACTCACAAGCTTTGGTACTCACCAAAGTAGAATGTAGAACATTTTCTTTATAAACTATGTTATGCCAGTTGAGCTAGATGTCCCCCGAGACCATGGTCCCCAACCCTCAGCCGAGTTATTTGGTCCCTCAGGGAGTTTAGATATGTCTATGGAGCTCCATGTCCTTGCCTTGGACAAGTTGTGCTGGCTTCCCCAGTATTGTGTACTGCTTTGCCCTTCACCAAAGTTACCACTTATCTATTGTCTATTTAGTGTTTTTCCCTCCCCACCCCTCCCCTGTCTTGTAACCATCAGAGATTGTTTTTTGTGTGTAAACCTTTTCATTAGTTTTTATAGTAGTGATCTCATACAATATTTGTCCTTTTGTGATTGACTTATTTCACTCAGCATAATGCCCTACAAATTCATCCATGTTGTTAGATGCCGCTTCGCAGATTCGTCATTGTTCTTTATCGTTGTGTAGTATTCCATTGTGTATGTACCATAGTTTGCTTATCCATTTACCTGTTGATGGGCACCTAGGTTGTTTCCATCGTTTTGCTATTGTGAACAATGCTGCAATGAACGTAGGTATTTATATGTCTACTCGTTTGATGGCTCTTATTTCTCTAGGATACATTCCTAGGAGTGGGATTGTTGGATCATATCGTATTCCTATTTCTAGCTTTTAAAGGAAGCGCCATATCATTTTCCAAAATGGTTGTACCATTTTGCATTCTCACCAGCAGTGCTTAAGAGTTCCAAATTTCCCTGTAGCCTCTCCTACATTTGTTATTTTCTGTTTTTTTTTGATTTGTGCCAGTAATGTTGGGGTGAGATGGTATCTCATTGTAGATTTGATTTGCATTTCTCTAATGGCTAATGATCGTGAGCATTTCCTCATGTATCCGTTAGCTGTTTGAATGTCTTCTTTGGTGAAGTGTCTATTCATATCCTTTGCCCATTTTTTAATTGGATTATTTGTCTTTATTCTTCAAATTTTTTTTCTGCCTCATTCATTATCTCCTTTTCTTCTGAGACTCCAGTTACGATATGCTAAACCTGAGGCTTTATTCTTTTATTTCAACATTTATTTTCTCTTTCTTCTTTAGGTTGGGAAATTTCTCTTGATACATTTTCAAGTTTACTGACACTTTACTCTGCCATCTCCAATCTGCTATGAAGTCCATACTGTGAAATTTTCATTTCAGATACTGTATTTTTCAATTCTAAAATTTCCTTGTGGTTCTTTCAGTTTCTTTGCTAAGATCTTCATGGTTCATTTATTATAACAATATTTTTCTTTCCCTTCAATATATTTATAATAGCTGCTTTAAAGCCCTTTCCTGCTAATTCCAACATCTGTTCATCTCAGGGTAGGTTTTTTTGACTGATTTTTCTCTTGACTATTGATCATATTTTCCTGTTTCTTCGTATTTCTAATACTGTTTCACTTTATGTTGGATGTTGTGATGGCTGTAGAGACTTTAGATTCTATTTTTTTCCCCCAGGAGAACTGCTTTTTATTAATTCATTTATTGAAGCAGCTTTATTGAGATATAATTCACATACCATACAATTCACCCATTTAAAATGTACAGTTAAATGGTTTTTAGTATATCCACAGAAATGGTCAATCATCACCATATCAATTTTAGAACATTTTCATCACCTTAAAAAGCAACCCTGTATCCCTTAGCTATCACATGAGTCCCCTTCCCCCTTTAGCCCTAAGCAACCAGCAGTCTACTTTCTGTGTCTATAGATTTGCCTATTCTGGACATTTCTTTTTTTTTTTTTGGTTTTGGTTTTTTTTTTTGTATGTGGTGTGTGTGTTTCCTTTTTTTTTTTAATTGTTGTAATTAAATCAAGTTTACATTTCAAGTTAGTCTCCCAGACAAATTTTTTTTTTTTTTACATACATTGTTATGAGACCCCAACCACTCACCCCATTCTGTGACAGCTCACTCCTCCCCTCCACCCCGATTCCCCATGAACATTCAACCAGCTCCTAACTCTCTCTGCCTTCCCATCTCACCTGGACATTTCTTATAAATGGAATCATATAATATGTGGTCTTTTGTGACTGGCTTCTTTTACTTATCATAATGTTTTCAAGGTTCATCTATGTTATAGCATGTATCAATACTTCTTTCCTTTTTATGGATAAATAGCATTCCACAGTATGGATAGACAATGTTTTGTTTATCCATCAGTTGATAGATGGAGGGCTGATTTTTATTCTAGCAAGCAGTTAACTTTGCTGGTCTCAAACTCCAAACTCTGTCTGCCCTGCTGTAGGCAGCTTTCTGCCAGGCCCCCTGGAGTCCCTCCCATGTGTATGTAGATTAGGGGTCAGTTCAGAATTTTGGTAGAGTTTATATTCAAGTTTTGGAGTTTTTTCTTCTTCAGCTTGCTACTTTCAGTATTTCTTCCCTCACTTTCCAGCCATTCTGGAAGCCCTGAGCTATGGATGATTCCCCAAGTTAGTACGACTGAGACTTTCTGCTTGTGTTCCAGCTGCCTCGAACCACATGGAATGGGAAATGCCCTTGGACAAAAAGTCACATAAACACACATTTCAGCAGTCAGATTCCTTCCTTCAAGATTGATGCCACTCTAGTTTCTGCCTGTTCTTGGATGCTCTCTAGTGCTTTTCAACAGCTATCTTCTGTATTTTGTCCAGAGTTTATCATTGTTTCCTGGGGGAAGGGTAGCTGATAAAATCTGCTCCACCATTACTGAATGTGGAACTCACAATGTACAGATTACAGAGCCTTACATAGACTTATCTCTTCCAGTCCTCATAAACAGTCCTCTCTGCTGACTCCAGGTAACCGCATTAAGTAAAGAGAGAATGTTGCTGGTGACTCCAAGTTGCTTTATCAGTGTCAGTTAAGAAGTTGAAATCTTGCAATGGTGGAGATTTCGGAGTTGGAGAGGTTTATTGGGTGGGGTTATTGCTGATGGGATCCATTCTTTGCTCTTTATGATTATAAAAGTTGGACTTCAAGACCGCTTACGTTTCCTCACCCTTGGTAACTTGGGGCCAGGCTTGGTGAGGGAGGCTATAAAATTCAGACTTCTCCCACCACCTTTACAAACTAGGCTGTTAGCCTGCCTCCCAAGAAAGGCAGAAGGAAGGAAGTACTGTAACCAAGAGTAGCACCTTTCTCTCTCCCACCTTTGGGGCTTAGCAGCAACAATAAAAGCGTCTTCTGTGAAGCTTTACCTCATCTTCTGCCTGCCAAGTCATACTTAGTCCTTGGAGCCTCTGTGCAGCCTTTTGTTTGTTCCATGAAGGGATAGAAACATATTTTATTCAACTTTGTATTCTCATCCTGTAAGCACTGTGCTTAGTGGGTGCTCAGTAACTGTTTGTAAATGGATGTTGAACACCTGAGCACATACTCTGATGAGACAAAGATCTTTGGGTCCTACATTCTGTATGACACTTCTGAGCCTTGCTTGCTGTGTTCATTCGTTTATCCATGAACCCCTGCTTGAGAGGACAATACATAATATTGAAGTTTAACTTCATAAATTCCGAAAGCTAAGTCTAAGTCCTGAATAAAAGTTATTAGGAATTAAACATAATTTTTATGTTGATTTTTTTAAACTCTACCATAATCATTCTGGACAGAAGAACCAAGAAACAAACCCTGTTCTTCCTCCCTACTCATTCCTGCACCAACAGATTACACGTCGTCAATAGTCATACTAGAAATACTTCACTATTTAGAGCTGACTGTGAAGCGTCACAGACTGTTGATATCATGGGAGATACAGTTTGAGTGATGTCAGAGTAAAGCATTTTGAAATAAAAATAAGAAGCTTTGCTGATGCACTCTTTTGCTTGTTTTTCTTCCTAAAAACGCAGACTATCTGGCTTCTCTGGGGAGACCCGTGGCTTCTCGGTGTGCTGATGGCCTGTTTCCGCAGTTCTGCAGAGCATACAATGTAAGTCAGTTCCTCGTGCACAGGTCTCCATGACACGGTGCCGAGGTCTGGGAGCGGGCTGCAAGGAGACACTTGTGCTGCTTAGCAGGTGATGCAGTTGAGCAAGGCGTTTTCAGAGCTGGTTGTTTTCTCTTGGCAGTGTGTGGCCTTTGTTGTCACTAGGGTGACGGAAAACACCGCCAAGAAAGTACTTCACCCTTAGAGATTAGCGCATAAAGCTCTTGACCAGAGATGAAAATATTTGCACACCAGCATTTTGTTTTCCCTTGAAAATAAAGGAAAAAGAAGTAAGACGGAGGTTAGCTGAAAGCCGCAGGCAAGTTGCTGTTACTTGGTAGAAGCACTAGGCATTAGGGCAGCTTTTGCAAGCAGGAGAGAGCAGGCGGGCGGGCAGGCGGCACTCCTTACTGGAGTCCTTCATTCCCAGCAATTCAACAAATGGTTCTTGTGCCCCAGCCACGTGCCAGGCCCTGCGCAGACGTAGGGAAAACAGGATGAAGGACGCCAGCCTACGTGCTGGGAGCTTACAGACTGTTGGAGACACACCCACTGTTACGGATTGAATTGTGCCCCCTAAAAATATGGGTTGTGAATCCTAATCCCTATACCTGTGATTGCAGCCCTGACAACGCAGTGGTTAAGAGCTTGGCTGCTAACCAAAAGGTCAGCAGTTCGAATCCACTAGCCGCTCTTTGGAAACCCTGTGGGGCAGTTCTACTCTGTCCTGTAGGGTTGCTATAAGTCAGAATCAACTCAATGGCAGGAGGTTTGGTTGTTTTTTTTTTTTTTTTTTTTGCTTTAACTCATCCTTTTTTCTGCTAACTCCTTGAAAGTATCCCTGAGCATTTTCGGATAGAGGTAATTCTGTAACTATGAAGTTAAAACATAATCTGGAAACCTATTTATTTAGAGTACCCTATTTTGAATAGATCACACCATCATCTTTCCTTTCGGCCAAGAATTATCCAAGGGTTTTTCAGCTGAAAGACTGGAACACTCTCCCCTGGGCTATGTGGGGTTTGGAGGCCCATTTAAAAAATTGTCATTCACACTCAGCTGTTGACAGCAGAGGCCGTGGCTAGGTGCTCTCTCGTGTTCCTGGCAGCACTGTGTTCAGATGGCTTATTCAGGCGTAGGTTTTGTTATTTCTTTTATTTTCATTAAGTTGACAGCTAAATCAGAACTGATCCATCAGTTTGTGGAATATTTAACACAAGCGGCGGAGAGCTACAAGCAGCGGATGGAATGGCTCACCAGCCGGAGCCGGCAGGTGTTTGGCGTCATCTTGGAACAGCGTGTCACCATGGTGCTGGATTTTGGTGACATGCTGGAGGAGGAGCTTAAGCTGTGCCAAGAGGCTCTTGTAATGGCCCTCCAGGAGCAAGTGGCTCATGTTAGCAAGTTCAACATGATACGGTGAGTTCTCATAAGAAGGGGGTGTTGCAGGGAAATTTCCCAAGTCGTTTGCACTAAGGTATTTGGAGTTCAATAGCATAGCTAACGCAGTTAGCTCTGTGGTAAGCGCGGAGGTGTTATCTCGTAATTTCCTAGAACGTACAATTTCAGCAGGAAAGCCACAAGGAATAAATCTTAGACAACTTTTCGTGTGCTTTGCATGTAGCATTTTAGTTTTTAAGTTAGAAAAGATTTAGAAACACAGTTCTCTTCAATGGTAAAAAAACCTGTTGCCGTCGAGTCAATTCTGACTCATAGAGACCCTACAGGACAGAGTAGAACCACCCTATACAGTTTCCAAGGAGCGGCTGGTGGATTCAAACTGCCGACCTTTCGGTTAGCAGCCTGACTCTTAGCCACGTGCCACCAGGTCTCTGTTCGACCATGAGAAGGGCAGAGTATAAGACCCTGAACTATGTTAAGCGTGAAATGGCCATAAAATCCCTGCGCTCATTTTAGATTTCAGCTTGGATACGAATTCAAACTTGTCACAAAGTTCACTGTCTTTCCAGACTGAACTTGTAACTCAGGTTGACCTCCCCTGTAAACTGACCCTTTTAATCAGAACAGCAGGTGGCTGACTTTATAGAATTTCCTGCATTTCAGAGTTTTCACAATCAATTATTTACGGATTCTTGGATTCAAGAGAATTTGGACATTTAGGGCCAACTTCTCATCTGGACCAGTGGCGCACCTTTCTGATGGGAAACATCTGGATAAGGGGAGGGAGACATCCATCTTATTGAGTTTTTCTTTTTTAAGTAAAATATGTTTGCCTAATAGATGAACTCTTTGGGGATGCTGCCTAATTGTGTTATATTAGGCTCCTGTTTCTGTCACAGATACATTATTGAAACAATGAAATGGTTAAATATGCGAAGCTGTTGATTTCTTTAATATACAGTAAAACCTATGAAAGCTGGAACCTGTGTAAGGTGGAAACCTGTCAGGGAAGGAAAGCTGACATGTCTTCCACTAACGGAGAGGGGTAGGAAGGTGGTAAGACTGCACCCCGTCAGAGGCAGAAAACTCGCGAGACCTGGAAACACCAGGTGATCCCGTCCAGTTCCACCTCACACGGGTCTCACTGTATATGCCACAGGGTGTATGCCACCCAGCCAGGTCCTCTACCCGGAGAACCCTCGTCGGAGTTGGCCCAGGTACGAGACAGCCTCCGCCTCTAAAGATGGGCTCTGAGGGACAAGCCAGGTTCATTGTATTTGCAGTTCTAGACGCAGAGATTAATACATTCAAATCGCTGTTTCTTGAGGGTGGGGGTGGGGGTAGGGCAGTGAGGAGGTGGGGGAGGGTGCGTCAGTCCTTTCTAAGCCTAAATGGTTTAACCACATTTCCTCAGGATTTAAAAAAGAATGCTTTGCTGAACTCAAAACCATGCTGCTTCTGGTCCTACAAGGGTAAGTGATGGGAATCGTTCAAGCCGGTGAAAACAGGGTCATGAAAGCAGTGGAAATAAAATTTTGTAGTAACAGAATTGCTGCTGGATGTTTGCAAATCTTAGTATTATATCTGCGTTCTTGTGAATTTACTATTAATGGAAGACAGCCATACATAAACCTGCCGGCTTACACAAGTAACTTCCTTCGGTCTTTTAAAGACACTTGTCGTTAATGTTTACATCGTTGAGATTTTTCTTCTCATGTAAAAATTGTTTTTCCTGTAAAATAAGAATGAAAAAAATGTTTTTCCTGTAAATTTTTTAAAAAAATTGTTTTTCCTATTCAGTACAGCTTACGGTAACGGTGCTTTGGAAATTTGCCTTAAAACAGCTCACCCTTTTTGTCAGTCACTTTCAGAGGGCTGGAGGAGCTGCTTTCTCTCTGTCTCAGCTCTGGCGATGGTAGGCAGCCTGTGGCCATAGCTCCGAGCCTGGTGGCTGACACCCCCATAGCACTGACCACTGGCCAGTGACAGCCCATGTGATTCCTTTCAGGGTTTCTCAAGAGCCTGTGAAATGGCAGGAAAATGCCACTCTTGTGACCGAACAATCCATAGCCGCTGCCATCAGTTGGGTTGAGAAACTGACTTTTGATCTGGTTGTGAGCCAGGCAAGCTGCCTGGATGCTCTGCTGGAAGCTGGGAAAGACAAAACAGTAAGTGTGTATCCGTGACTGCCCAGGTCCTGAAAGTGGCTTCAAGCTTTCTTTTTCCCACCCATTACCCTCACATGGCTCTTCAGCCGCTCTTGGTCCCCACCCAGCAGCATCCCACGGAGACCCCATCATTGGCATTGAAGCCCCTAAGTAATATTGCTTTTCACCTCTCAGTCTGGAACCAGTTGAGTAAAAGGTTACAGACACTGGATGGGTATCCAAATGACAGCTTTGTTGATGGCAGAGGTGGACCAACCAAAAATGTGGCTTATTTATAGATTCAGAAATGAAGCTCTCTAAATTCTGCCCCCTGAGGAAATGTTGGAGTTTTGAGTCTGCCCACAGGTGCCTTGGAAGAAAGGCCTGATGATCTATTTATCAGCCATTGAAAACCCTATGGAGCACACTTCGTCTCTGACCTTCATGGGGTTGCCATGAGTCAGAATCAATTTGATGGCCACTGGTTTATGAGTCCCTGTGTGGTACAAACAGTTAAGCACTTGGCTACTAACAGAAAGATTGGAGATTTGAGTTCACTCAGAGGTGCCTTGGAAGAAAGTCCTGGTGATCTACTTCTGAAAGGTCACAGCCACTGAAAACCCTGTGGAGTCCAGTTCTACTCTGACACACATGGAATCACCATGAGTAGGAATGAACTCGATGGCAACTGGTTTGGTTTCTGGAGCCTAGCTATACTTCTTCTGTGGGGCAGTTGTGGCCACAGGGAAGAACTTCATTTAACCAGTGTGAGGAGAGCCGAATGCTGCTCACACCCATGAGCACCAAGAGAAAGGACAGGGACTCAGGCCATAATCGTGCAGCTTTAACACATCAATTCCACTCTTGCTCTCCTGCCAATTAGATAGATCAGTCCATCTCTTATGGGGAGGAAAGACAGGCTGGAAGCCTCCTGATAGAACTATGAGGATGAGGAAATAGGGTTTTCCCAACATCCATGCTCTGAAACTTTACCGATTCCTCTCCTTCGCAGTGGATCCGTCATGTGTTTTCCAAGGTAAAGTATATCCAAACTGATGAGTCCATCTGTTTCGGAACGCTAATGTATTGACATGTTTTTGACAAGGACCTTCTGGAAATAAAGATTTACCATGGAAGGAATTGGTTGTCGTTGTTGTTAGGTGCCATCGAGTCGGTTCCGACTCATAGCAACCCTGTGTCCAACAGCACGAAACACTGCCCGGTCCTGCGCCATCCTCACAATCGTTGCCATGTTTGAGCCCATTGTTGCAGCCCCTGTGTCAGTCTGTCTCATTGAGGGTCTTCCTCTTTTTTGCTGACCTTCTACCTTACCAAGCATGATGTCCTTCTCCAGGGACTGATCCCTCCCGATAACATGTCCAAAGTACGTGAGACAAATCTCCCAATCCTCACTTCTAAGGAGCATTCTGGCTGTACTTCTTCCAAGACAAACTTGTTAAATTCTGTTTTATGTCTCTTTTAGCCACAGGGGTGTTTGTTCTGTGAGTGACTCTGATGATGAAACTGGCAAGGGGAATGGCAAGCTACTGGGGAGTGTTTTGGGCTGGCAGGGTCCTTCTGCCAGCCTCACTTCCCCTGGGTTGGAGTAGGTCTGCTTTCCCTCAGGACACACATGAGCAAACGTAATTACTTCCTCTCCTCAGGAACCCCTCAGGTGCTGTAGGTTTCCAGCTTTACCTGCTGCATTCAGAAGCCCTTTCTTGAGCAAGGGGGCCATGTCCTGGCACCTTGAAAGGATAGCCCTCAATGTCACCAGACTGTGTTTTTTGATACTGAGGGTGAGGGTTTGAAACGGGAAATGCATTGGTTTTCCTCACGAAGTCAGAGAACAAATGTTTCCCATTAAGGAAGAACAAAATACAAGTTACTTTGTTCTCTGGCCTTTCAAGTTTGTTTTAACATCTGTAAAATTTCAAATGTCTGGCGCCCTAGTACACATTCAACAAATGGAACATTTCACAGGCCCTTGGATGTGTGGGCACATGCATGAGCACATGGATGTTCTCTGTCTTTGTTAAACTGGTTATCCTGCTAATGGCTGACTGTGGTGACCTGATGTGACTGCAGATCTCTTGCAGACCTTGCTTTTCTATTTCACTTCCCTCTGGTTTATGCATCCCCTATCTGTGGGGTTTGACCCTCGTCCAGGAAAAATATGGAACAACTTAGTGAGTTCCAGGGAAGTCATATAGAAGAGGAAGAACCAAGAAAGAAGCTTACATGCTAAACAAATAATTGCTTGAATGAGAATCAGCACAAAAACTGGTTCCTGCAAAAGACCTCTTTAAAGTGTTAAAAAGCAAAGAGGTCATTTTGAGGACTAAGGTGTGCCTGACCCAAGCCATGGTGTTTTTAGTTGCCTCATATGCACGTGAAAGCTGGTCAATTAATAAGGAAGACCGAAGAAAAATAGATGCCTTTGAATTATGGTGTTGGTGAAGAGTATCGAATATACTGTGGACTTCCAGAGGAATGAACAAATCTGTCTTGGAAAAATACAACCAGAATGCTCATTAAAGACAAGGATGGCGAGACTTCGTCTCACGTACTTTGGACATGTTATCAGGAGGGACCAGACCCTGGAGAAGGACATCGTGCTTGGTAAGTAGAGGGTCAGCGAAAAAGAGGAAGACTGTTAACAAGATGGATTGACACAGTGGCTACAACAATGGGCTCAAACATAGCAACAATTGGGAGGATGGCGCAGGACCAGGCAGTGTTTTGTTCTGTTGTACGCAGGGTCGCTGTGAGTTGGAATGGGAATCGACTCGTCGGCACCTAGCAGCAACAGTCGGAGGCGGAGGTCAGTCATATCTCGGCTTTCTAACTTCTCCGTCGTCTCTGACACTAATCGCTCCCATCCCCACGGCACTTTTCTGTCTCTCTGCTGAGTTTGGTGATTTGCTGCAAGGTCACACGAAACTCACAGACTATACTTGTGGTTATATAGTTTGTTAGGGTAAAGGAACAACTCAGGGATAAGTCAGGAGCAACAGGAAGAGGCACTCGGGCAAGGCTTGAAAGGTCCCTGAAACAGAGGGCATATCCGCTCCAGGAAGCTCTCCTTCAGGGGTCCTCTCCCTCGGGAGGCTCTCCTTCAGGGGTCCTGTCCCTCAGGAAGCTCTCCTTCAGGGGTCCTCTCCCTCGGGAAGCTCTCCTTCAGGGGTCCTCTCCCTCGGGAAGCTCTCCTTCAGGGGTCCTCTCCCTCGGG